ACTTCAATTAATGTAGCATTATTTCTATCTAACGTGGTGTGAAACGCAAGTTTAGTATCATTAAAGTAAATATTTATCGTGAGCGGACCTGGAACGCATCGCATAGGGTCTGGTTCCCATTCACCATTTGTATTACATCTCACATTCCTTCTTTGTCCGGACAGTAGATTAGTTTCAGGTCGATAACTGTTTTGACATTGCAATGTCGCTTTTGTTCTTGGTGGAACTGAAGATTCGCACGATATCCATTCATCATCGTATGTACTACATCTAGCTTCGATTGATGCCGAGGTCAAAGCTTTGCACCGTATTTCTGTCAAATAAAAATTTTGAACGCTTAACGCATAATCATGATTTCGATCGCTTTAGTTGAAAAATTCAATATCTAAGAATCCTTACTTATTTTCCATGTATGTGCATACATTTTTTTCTAAAATAATTAAATATTTCAAAAACATAATTATTTGAATACCTATACAAACTGGTATGTTAAGCCATCTTCCCTCGAAGCTGCAGCTCACGTCGGTCGGACCTCTTATTTTATATCCCAAATTACAAGAGTAGATGAGATGAGAACCTGATACCAGTTCTGTTCCTTCTGAAACGTAACATTCCTGTTCATCTGGGCATTGCGACCGATGTAATTTCCAACGACCGTTCTGCGGTTGTGGAGGTGCTCTGCATCTGTTAGTGCCAGATGATGTAGGCGGTGTTGTTCGTCGTGTTGTTTCCGTAGGTGGTTGTCTCGTTGGGGTAGGTGTGAATGGTGTGATCCATCCTCCGCCGCACACCTTCTCATCCGATCCATCGGCACAATTTTCTACTCCGTTACATTTTAGATCACCATCGATACACGCTCCATAAGCACAACGGAAAGTTGTCCCAGGACAGCTGCAAACAAATTAGCAGTTATGAAACGTTTGTTTCTCGTGGTCGTTTAATCAATATACAATTATAAATCGTATTTTAAACATGCATAAAAGATTCTCACGGCGGTGTAATTGCGCATTGTGCAGATTCATCAGAACCATCCGCACAATCTCGATTTCCGTCACAAACTTGGGTGTTCTTAATGCACTGGCCGTCGTTGCACCTAAACACCGCCCCTCTGCAGCACTTGGTTTCATCGCTATTATCAACGCAGTCCCTTTTGCCATCACACGCTTTGTCTTTGTCTATGCAGCCACCGTAATCGCAGCGAAAGGTGGAACACGAAATTTGTTTACACTCAGCCTCTGTCTCGTCAGACGAATCCCTGCAATCTGCTTTGCCGTCGCATAATAATGTGCCACTTATACAGTCTCCATTGTGGCATCGAAATTTTTGTTGCTCTGTCCTGTTTGAACAATTATGTATTAGCTGATATTTATTTGCTTGAGCATTACATTATTTTGATATGTGAATACTTACGTACACTCATCAAATACAATTTGTGCATATCCAAAACCAATACACACTGTAAAATACAAAAAAAAAAAATAGTTTCGCTTACAAAAATCTATCCCCTGTTATTTTATACGTCAAATAATTGTGCATGTGTTGTAAATTGAAGTTATTTTAATTATAATTTTTTAAACAATATATACGTAGCACGAAATTCTGCTTGATGGTCATATCTTTTGCCTGATAGGCACATAAAAATCAGTTATAGATTGATATATTATAGATAATTATCAATAATTATAGATTGATAGATTGATTGACCATATTTCCTAGCAGCATAAGAAAAACTTCAATAAATTGTTAAATATGGTAGACATGCATTATACAATTCATGCATCATCTTCGTTTATTATCTAGTCAAATGAGTAAACATGTACGCAAGATAGAATTCTTTTACAGTGAGGTTCAAGGTCATTAAACTGGTTTCTGAAACTGGTTAAGATTACTTCGGTAATCTCTTGGAATTTGCAGATGCTCAAATGACTGCAAAATAACGGTATATAATACTAAATTCTTCTTAAGAGATGCATGATAAATAAAAACGAATTTTACTAAAAAAATTTTTTTACCGATTGTTTCATTTACAAATTAATTATTTGATCGACCATTTAGTCAAACAAGGTTAAAATATGCAAACTGAATAACATTTGTAAAGTTTTGCTTAAAATTTGTAAATCAGATAAACTAAATTTTCGAGAACTATATTTATATGTGTTTTATATATGTTATATATTATTATCCTCGACTATGAAATATGTAGAAATATATATATGGATTCAGAATAAATTAGAACGTGAGATCGCTAGTGAACGTGAAATGTTAATGACACTGGTGAAAATAATTACATTTTTAATTATCTTCATGAGCAATTTTACTATTTTATTAGTAATATATTCAAATGAATACATTGTATTTGTTTAATATTCTGTTGTTATATCTAACTGATAAATAGAAAATCTTCGAAAAAGAAAGTTGTGATGAAAGTTTTTTAAAAGTAGCAATTATAATTCTTATTTATTATAAAAACAAATTGGCGTCATAATACATTCCTTGCTTACCGTAAATAACTATTAATAGTGTGGAAATTCGTTGAATAATCCACATGGTAAAGTACACATGTACGAAATGCCAGCAATTGCAATCCGCACCTCCTTATAACTCGGCACTCTATCGTCCACTGCGATTATCCACTGGATACGCCGGATTCCACAAGACTGGAATTACCCAACGCGCAGGCAAAGCGCGCGCGTCATCTTGATATGCGCGTGTGGTGGAAAGTGCATGTACGGGGAAAGTACACATTCGATTTTTTACGCTGTAAATCTAAAGAAATTTACTATTATATACCGTTATTTTGCAGTCATTTGCAAACATCTGCAAATTCCAAGAGATTGCCGAAGTAACCTCAAACAAAATTCGAATGAAGACACGACGACTATGCGCACATTTGCATTTCGGTTCTATGAACTTTGTGAAGTAGAGACAATACACATTTTTTATAACAGGATGTTTAGTTGAAGGACTCTGGCATTATTTGCGGTTTCACAGAATCGCTTTGTAATTGCAGGAAACTTACAATTAATTTTACAAATGCAGCAGCTTGTATGATAATTCAAAAACATTCTTTAATATTTCTCAGTGTATTTGATACAGAGACAGAGCTATGTATTTTACACTTATACATCATTATGCACGACTTCTTGTGCTTCATCCTCCGCAGGTAGGACATCTCTGTTGCTAAACGAATAAAAAGGGAGGCCTATCAGCCATTTCAAGGTTCTGCATAATATTGAGTTAAGGTATATCTAATACAAAGGAAGAAAAATTTCATCACATAAAGCGTTGTGTTGGAAAAAAAGGATACATTCGTTCTGAAATCTCGGTGTCTATCATATGTTTCAAAATGTACGTCTTCTGAAACGTTTCTACTTCTTCCTCGCACTCCTTCCAATCTAACGTTTCATGGAGACCGTCCGTGCCATATCTTTCACTATAATTATCGTAGTGCACCTGTCGATGTATTTACTTTTTGAATAATTCGTTTTTAGAAACTTTAATACTAATCTCACAATCGATTATGAGTTTAACTGCATCAACTTTTCTTGATATTGTAAATAAATAATTTTATAAGTAATTTTCACAAGTCAACAAAATATATGCGATCAAATTTTCTCACGTGACACAGGCACAATCCTAAGCTGGGCGCAAGTGGTATGTCCATCTTGTCCATTGTCTTGAACGCTTCGTCGATCGTCTCTTTGGACACCATGTCCCTCGCGATCGCGACCACAGCGGCGACCATTTTTCGGATTTGATGCAACATGAAGCTCTGCCCTTTAATTTCCAATACCGCAAATTCCATGTCGTTTGAAACGAACGTTTCCACACATGAGAAACTGATTATATAGCGTCGCGCTCGTGGATCTAACGGTTTCCTGAATTAAACAGACTTTGATTCAGTTTTAAGTACCTAAATGGGCAAATATGTTCTTCTGATTTGACATCGACTCACACTTTTGACGTGAAGTTGTGAAAGTTGTGAGAACCTTCGAAAAGCTTCAAAATCGAATTTAATCTATCTAAAGATTCCGGAGATAATCTATAATCCGTATACGGCTTTCCGTCGATAATCGATAACTGCTTGATTCTCTCGTCTTCGTCAACCTCCTCCCCAAGTTTTAACAAACTCTGATCTTCTAACGCAAATGCAAAGGAAGGAATGATGTATCTATAAGTACGCGCATCGCAGTGATTTTTGCTGTTGAAACTCTTTGTCACTCGTTTTATACCAAATACTCTGATTACATCAGGTAAGAACTGATTTATCACTGTCCTATCGATATTCTCCGCTGCAAAAAAAAATTGATATTTATATAATTTAATAATATATTCATACAATAATTCATACAAATACAAAGTTTATTTCCTTCGTTACTTTTAAGCTTAATAGCATGACAATTAGATCTTTATTAATAATTGTTTAAATAAAAGTGGCATCGTAAAATTAATATTGCAATAAGCACATTAGGACATAAATTTTATGATACGAATTTTAATATAAATTAAAATTGTTCTTAAATAATAATAATAGAATATACAGGGTGTTCATAAAGTATCGAACCCCCCCCCTCTATCTCAGAAAATACTAACTGGATAAAAAAACTTTAAATACAAAACTTTTAGGAAATTTCAGTTAGTATTTTCTGAGATAGAGGGGGGGGGGGTCCGATACTTTATGAACACCCTGTATATATATATATATATGTATGTATATAATGTGTATAAATGAGACAATTTCAACTTTCAGAGCGGACTTGTAAATATAATGTGCGGCTACAAGGTCCAGATGTTACCGGTATCGGAGGCGAGTAAAAAGGTGTGGACCAGTGGATGCATCGAGATCGTGCGTAGCTGGGCGGAGCGCAATCTCTACACGATAGCTGGCTTCGCGCTGGGCATCGCGCTCAGCCAGCTCTTCGTCATCTACCTCGCGAAAACTCTGGAGGGCCAGATCGAGCTGCAGAAGTCCCGCTGGCATTCCTGAGCTTGACTTCAGGCCACCTACCGTTACCAGATACATTCTGCGGCCAACAGGCAGGTGGCCAGTGGCGGCCGATCGCGCGGATCGCAGGACACAGAGACAAATATAAACGCGCGAATGGCATTGCTCGTCCTCTTCGCGATCTCCTTATACATACTGTGCATTTTGTCCCTCATCAAACTCGTCCTTTATTTCAAGAATTACTTCCATCTGTACGTGAGTAAGGGATAATACGCCGCCGGCGGACGATGAGCCGTCTTCATAGAGGGTGCGTTCGCGAGCGTAACGGGGGCGTCGATAGAGATCTTGCATTAAACGCTGTACACAGGCGAGTGTGCAGAAATGGTGTCCCCGTGCGTTTATTTACAGTCAGCGGTAAAAAGTTCTTTTTAATACTCAGGAAAGCGCATCTTCTCGCTTACACGGTTCATTGCATGACTGCTTCGCGCTTGCATTCGGCGAGTTACGTTGTTCACGCTCTTGTGAATGCCGCACGGGACACGATTAATGCATTCGCCTGTACAATGTGACTTGGCGACTCGAAAATGCATTCAAGACAAAAGTGAGAGAGACATTCATCATGA